CGGCCGGGCGCCACGTGGAGACCCGCGCCCCGGCTCGCGGCCGGCGGGGTGGGTAGGGCCGCTGGGGGCACAGGGCCCGCGGCTCCCAGGAGGCCTCGCGGGCGGGGCGGCGCACTCCCGCGTCACTCCGGGCGCGCGGCCGGTCGGCCCGGGGGCGGGGCGCGCGGCGGGCGGGGGCGGGGCGGCGCGGCGGGCGGGGGCGGGGCGGCGCGGCGGCCTTCCTCCTCGGCGGCCTCGGAGCGAGGCGGACGCGCGCGGACCCCGCACCGGTCGCGGACCCGCCATGGGCCCGCCCGACCCCGGGCTCCGCGCCGCGCGAGTGCCATCCCAAAGCCAGGTGGGCGGCGGCGCCGGGCTGGGGGCCCGGCGGGGGCGGAGGCCGGAGCGGGGTCCCCCGGGGTCCCCGGGAGCCTGGCCCGGGGCTGGGCGGGGGGCGCGGAGGAGCCGCGGGCCGTGGCGTCGATCACCAAGTGGGCTTCCCCGGGGAGTGGGGTCGGGACCGGGAGGGTCGCCGAGGGGCGAGGACCGATCCTGACTCCCCACTCCTGCCTGTCGGTCGGTCCCCCGGCCTGGGATGTTGGGGGGAGCGGGCAGAGGGATTGTCCCCATCCTCGCCCCGGGCCCAGCCTTCCCGGCCCGGGGGGAGGGGGTGCGGGGCGGGGAGAGCGGATCTGCTCACACGCGGCCGCACTGCCGGGCCCCCCCAGCTCGGTGCCCGCGGCTCCACGTGCCCGCCTCGGGGCTGGGCTGTAATCCAGGGGCCCCGGAGGAGGAGAGGATGCTGGGGGGGGGGTGGTGTTGGTTTTGATCTTGGGGACGCGGGGCCAACCCCAGCGCCTGTAAGAGGAGGTGCTGGGTAAGCCTGCGTGGTGAGGGCGGGGAGGCCTTGGCCGCGGGCCAGGTCGCCACTGTTGCCCATTAACTAACCGGCGACTGTCCCGGTTTCCTCATTGCGCCCAGAGTGACCTTGAGCGGTCGCCTCACCTCCCCCAGCCTCAGTCTCCCCATAGGCAAAGTGGGGACGGCAGAAAGGGCCCTCAGAGGCCCCTGGGATGACCCCTGGCATGACCCCTGGAACTCTTACTAATCACAGGGTGAATGGGGTGAACGGGTGAGCGGTGAGAGTGAAGTCCGGAGCTCCCTGCCCCGCCCTCTCAGCCACTGATTTCTGTGCTGGGAGCTGGGACTCCTGGAGCCGTCTGTCTTTCAGGATTGAAGCTCCAAGATGGCTGATCAGGACCCTGGGGGCATCAGCCCCCTCCAACAGATGGTGGCCTCAGGCGCCGGGGCTGTGGTCACCTCCATCTTCAGTAAGACCTGGGGGGGAGGGGAGGACAGGCCAGAGACTGGAAGGGTCTTGGTCCTGGGCGGGCTGTCAGGAGTGGCGCCTTGAAAGGAGTCTTCAGCCTGCCCTCTCCCCTAGTGACCCCCCTGGACGTGGTGAAGGTCCGCCTGCAGGCTCAGCGGCCCTCAGTGACCAGCGGTGAGTGTCCGCCCGGAGCCAGTAGGGGGTGGTGTCTGGCAAAAGGATCTCCCAGAGATGGGATGGGGGGAGGGAGCTCTCCTGACTTGGGGGGCCACCTTGTGTTTTAGAACTGACGCCTCCCTCCAGACTCTGGAGTCTCTCTTTCACCAAATGTGAGTGCCCCTCGCCACAGGGGGCGTGAGGGTCCGGGGAGGGAGGGCACGGGCGAGCCTGGCAGCCATGGACTGGCACGTGCTTCAGGTCCTCCCAGCCCGCCCTCTGTCCTGGCAGGAATGCCCACCTGAGGACCCAGCCTCTGCCGGCCCTCCCCGCCATGGCCGTCATTGTCTCCCCCCCCCCCTCCCAGTGCCCTCTCTCCGGCCCACAGGGAAGTGCCTCCTCTACTGCAACGGTGTCCTGGAACCCCTGTACCTGTGCCCAAATGGTGCCCGCTGCGCCACCTGGTTTCAGGACCCCACTCGCTTCACTGGCACTGTGGTGAGGAGCAGCTGGGCCCTCAGCGGGTCTGTCAGAGTTCCTGGCAGCAGGCTCAGGAAGAAGGAATATGGCAGAGCTTGTTGGGGCAGCCAGTTCGGTTCTGGAAAGGCTCCCCTGGGAGGTGGTGCCCTCCGTGTGGTTGTGAAGGGTGAACGGAGTCCGCCTGGAACCCAGTGGGGCCTGGCATGGGTGGGACCTGAGGGGCTGCTGCCTCCCAGCAGGACCAGGGCTGTGGGCAGAGGGAGGGCATTGGGTTAGGGCCAGCAGGGGCCAGCCCCTTCACAGGCCTCTTTCATGTCACCTTCCTGCTCTGGCTGCTGTCCTCTTGGCCAGGACGCCTTTGTGAAGATTGTGAGACACGAGGGCATCAGGACCCTGTGGAGCGGCCTTCCAGCCACCCTGTGAGTCCTGCATGCTGTCTTCCCTTGTGCCCTGCTCACCTCTTGCTCCCCTGTTGGCTGGCTGGCTGGGCAGGGCTGGCCGGGGGGTTGGAAGTCCCAGCTAACGTCTCTTCGCACCTCCAGGGTGATGACTGTGCCAGCAACCGCCATCTACTTCACGGCCTATGACCAACTCAAGGCCTTCCTGTGTGGTCGAGCCCTGATCTCTGACTTCTATGCACCCATGGTGGCTGGTGCCTTGGCCCGCTGTGAGCACAGCCCTGGCCCTTGGTCTCCCGTCGGCCCCCGCTCTGCCTGAGCTCAGTCCTCACTCCCAGCTTCACTCTGCCTGCTTAGGGGTGGGGAGATGTCTTGGGCTCCCAGACTCTGGGCACACTGCCATGAGGACCTGTGAGCTGATCCCTCCCCGTTGCTCCCCGCAGTGGGCACCGTGACTGTGATAAGCCCCCTGGAACTGGTACGGACAAAGCTGCAGGCTCAGCACGTGTCATACCGGGAGCTGGGCGCCTGTGTCCGAACCTCCGTGGCCCAGGGCGGCTGGCGCTCGCTGTGGCTGGGCTGGGGCCCCACCGCTCTTCGGGATGTGCCCTTCTCAGGTAGGCTCCCGGGGTGAGGGGATGTGGGGAGAGGACCCTTGGGTGATGCACCAGAGGTTACAGCCAAGACTCGGCTTTGATACTACTGACCTTGAAGTCATGTGACTTCTCTGAGCCCCATCTCATCTGTGAAATGGGCTCAGTGTACAGGGTATTTGCCCAGATTTTCACGAGATAATTCCTGCAGAGAAGCTGTTACGGAAACTAGTGTAGCAAACGGGCCTCTTAACTGGGAGGGAGCGGTTGTCAGGGGATAGGTCAGTGGAAGAGGGTGGTATGGGGCCCATCCTCTGCCTTCCCCATTGCTAATGAGTGTATCTTGTGCCTCCAAGCCCTGTATTGGTTCAACTATGAGCTGGTAAAGAGCTGGTTGAGTGGGCGCAGGCCAAAGGACCAGACATCAGTGGGCATCAGCTTTGTGGCTGGTGGCATCTCAGGAACGGTGAGTTGACTGGGCGGGGGTGTGGCTGGCAGAGGTGTCCTTGATGGCAGTGTGGGAGCTGCCTGTCGAGAAGCAAGCTCACCCTCCCTGGTGCTAAGGCTGGCAGACTCTGGCTGGGGAGAGGGTCCTGGGAATGGAGATGAGGCCTCCCCTTTGCCCCCAGGTGGCTGCCATCCTGACTCTACCCTTCGACGTGGTGAAGACACAGCGCCAGGTTGCGCTGGGAGCCGGGGAGGCTGTGAGAGGTAAGGGGTTTGGCTGGCATGGTGCCGGGGCTGGTGGGGTCCAAGTGGGGTTTTACTGGGCTATGCCTTGTGCCCGCAGTGTCACCTGTGCCCGCCAACTCCACCTGGCTGCTGCTGCGGAGGATCCGGGCCGAGTCCGGCACCAGGGGCCTCTTTGCAGGTGCGTGTCTGTGCAGGCCCTGGTGAGGGTGGACCCTCTGGGACCAGCCTCTGACCCCAGCCTTGCCCTCCCCCTGCAGGCTTCCTGCCGAGGATCATCAAGGCCGCCCCCTCCTGTGCCATCATGATCAGCACATACGAGTTGGGCAAAAGCTTCTTTCAGAGGCTCAACCTGGAACAGTCTCTGAGCCAGTGAGAGGAGCGAGCGGATGAGGCCCCATCTCTTCCTTGGACGGTGCGGGCAGGAGGAGTCTGAGCCAAGTGCCTTGTCCTCAGGGGAGGGGCCTCATTTTTCCCTCTCAGCTCAGCCCCAAGGGAACCAGCCCATCCGTTGGGCCTGCGCAGGCCCCATCAGACAGCTTTCTTCCTGTGGTCCTCATCCCGCACCCCGAGGATACTCCCTTTTCCACCCAACTTCCCAAGTTCAAGACCAAATCTGTTCACTCTGTCTTGCCCATTCATTTCCCTGTGTTTGTTATAGCTGGGCCTGCCCCCAAGGCCCACAGAACCCTGGACCTGGCCAGTCTGAACCCCCTGCTGTTAATTCACTGAGTGTAAAGATGATGATTTTCCTCCCGTGTCTGTGTCTGCAGGGCCAGGGCATGGGGTTGGGGAAGCGGCTTGGTGAGTGATTGGCAGAGGAGGCCTGGCGGGGTCTTGGTGGGCATAGGCTTTGGCTGCCTGGTGGTACTCGTGGAAAGGACCCCCAGTTTAGTGAGGACCCAGAGTTGGGGTCAACAAGCGACCTTGATGGTGTTGGGGCCAGGGGAGAGGATGCTCCCCAAGGCGCACTGAGATGTGAAGGAGGGAGGGCTGCTTCACTGCCAGGCTTGGTCTAACGGGAGGGCCTGAAGCTTGGGGCCAAAGTGGAATTGTGCGGGAGGATGGAGAAGGGCCCTCCCAGGCCTTGCCTCCATCCTGCCCACCCCCCATGGCGTTCATTCTCTTCTCTGCCAGGAGTCGAGCAAGTTCTTAAAGAGTGTCTGGTTGAAGGGGGGTATTTATGTGTCCTGGTCCTGCTCTGGGCGGACTAACACACACCCCGTCACCCACTCCGAACTATTGGGACCCGCCTGCACCCACAGGACGCACACCCGTTCTGTGGTGCAGCACCACGTGGGCCGGCACTGGCTCTGCTGCATCCTGCTGACCTCAGGAGGTCCTGTCCCCGCCCCACAGACAAGGCTCCCCTCAGTCCTCTGGTTTTTATTTGCCTGATGCCCTCAGAGCCCTGCCCTGGGGGCCGAGGAAGAAGGGACTCCAGGGAGTGAATACAGGACAGACGGGAGGTGGGGAGATGAAGGTGCTCCCAGGGAGGGTGGGGAAGGTGGAGAAGAGTCCCAGAGGGAGCAGCAGGCATCAGTTGCCAGAAGATGGAACAAGCTTCCCCAAGGACTTGCTGTGGCCTTGGCGACCCCACTTCCTGCCCAACCGGCTTCCTGGGCAGGAAGCTGGAACCGGAAGCCAGAGGCTCCGTTCCCGAGACCCCTGGCTGGGTGGGCAGCGTGGCCTGGACTGGGGGACTCTGAGGAAAGGCGGCCGGTGTCTGTGCCCTGGCAGGCGGGGCTGGCACAAGCCACACTTCAGCTGGGGCTCAGTGCCGGGCTGCCCTCGGGACTGTCGCTCACCAGGCACTCGTTGGATTTGAAGCTCGCGAGGGACTTGCAGCTGGGGATGGAGGCCAGGGAGCCGCAGAGGCCCAGCATGGAGGGCGTGGGGTCCTTCCCTGGGGAGAGAGGGGGCGTGAGGCCAGGCCAACCAGTCTGCATGGGACGGGGCCTTGGATGGGATCAGACCACCCCCCACTGGGAGACGCCTCATTTCTGCAGCGTCTGCCATTTCCGTGAACCTGGTTAGGCGCCTGCCTGTGCCATGCACAGCACAGGGAACACTACTGTAATGTGTATGTTTCTGTCTCCCCGAGGTGCATCCGCTCTGTCCATTTATTAAACACTGAGCACGTGTTCTCTTCCAAGCACTGGGATACAGAGAACGGACTAGACAGTCCCTGCCCTCAAGGAGCTCACAGTCTGGTGGGGAGACAGACATGGACAATCACAGACTGTGGCAGGTCACATGTTAGCCTGCCTGGTCTCAGATCTAGGGTCATCCAGTACAGTGGTTTTTAAAAAGACATGACATCCAGGCACCAGGAGAGCAAGGGTGGGAAACCAAGATGAAGCCACGGAGAGGGCAACACAAATGCATGCGTTGAAGTCCTGGCATTCACTGAAGGGAGCCGCTACTTTGGCTCAGAGCTTCCTGGCAGCCAAAGAAAAGGGGAGAAAGGGTCAGGCACGTGGTGCATGGAGTGCGTGAGACATGAGCAAATCAGGCAGAGACCTCCCCAAGCATCTGAACCCCTTGATGTCATAATGAAGCCATTCAGCCCTCGTCACATGCCAAATGTGATCACTGGTGAGAAGGCTCAGCAATGTGAGCGACCAAGCTCCACCACCAGAGGAGGCGCAGCTGGGGTTTGCACTCGGGGCTGCCCTACACCCCAAACCACGCTCTTAATCGCTGTGCTAACCTCTCTGGAAGGGCTGAGTCCAAGGGAATGACTAGGGCCTGACTACAAGCCCCAAGGCCTGGCCTGAGCCCTTCCTGGAGGCATGCTGGGTGCTGCATGGGGGGCACGGGGGTGGGGGTGGGGCTCACCGATGGGGCCCCAGGGCTCCTCATCCTGCTTGCCCTCTCCCAGGCGCTGGGAGTCCGAGCTCAGACTGGCTTCAGCTGACAGCCGCTCCGTGCTCATGAAACTGTGTCTGTGACAGAGTAGAGAGCTGGTGTATGGGCAGAGGTTTACCGCTCCCCCCCTCTCCCCGCCCCTATTCCCGGGGAGGGACCGGCACTCAGGCCAAGCTGAGCCTAGCTGTGCTTACCTCCGGTAGAGCTTGGGGTTGCTGACACCCTCAGCCCCATGGAGAGTTCCCAGTGATGGCCATTGGTTGACCAGGGACGTGGTGAGCTCCTTGGAACCCTGGACTAGGGGGGCGTGGTCGCCAGGGATCAGACCTGTCCTGGGATGGGGAGGTGGGGGTCAGGCTGGCTGGGAGAGGGAACAGAAGTAGGGAAGGAGTCTCAGCAAGGGGGAGGGGTTAGGGTTGAAACCTGGGTAGCAGAAATGGGGACCGAATGTTGAGGATGAGTAGGGCAGATTCTAGAAGCCAGTGGAGAGTGAGCACTGGGAGTCAGAGAAGTGACAAGGATCAGTGCCCTCAGCTGAGGGATGGAGGGAGTCAGGAGAGTGGTGTAGGAATCCTGAAATGTAATCAATGGTGTGTGGGGGGGGTGAGTTTGGGAATCATGCTGGGAGGTCACAGGAGGATGAAAGGTTCAGTGGGTAAATATCAGGGATGGGTGGAGGTCAGGGGTCACCATGGGTGATGATGACAGTCAGTGGGCAGATGTAGCACATCAGAGGGAATAATTCAATGACGTTGAAAGTCGGTCCTTGTGAGTAATGTTGGGGCCCCGGGAACAATGTTGGATGGACGGCCAGTCTAGCTGGTGTCGGGTCACTGACATGAAGCAGGGAGGGTTTTGGAAGGGTCCCAGGATCTTAGGTGAGGATAACGTAGAAGGTTCCCGGGGGGGTTTCCGGGGAGAGGTGATGGGTCAGTGGTTTGATGCTGGTGGTTGGTGGAGTTGGATGCAGGCATCAGGAAAGGTGAGGTTGGAGTCAGTGTGGGGGGTTCCCTGGGGGGATGTGTTGCGGGGGACGGGTCAGGGGGTCAGGGTGGCCGCGCTCACAGCTGCTCCTGCAGCTCCAGGATCACGCCCTCCAGCTCCCGCTTTTCGCGCTGGTTCTGCGCCGCCGCCTCCTCCAGCTGCAGCTGCAGCCGCCGGTTCTCCGCCTCCAGGTCCTTCAGCTGCGACTCGCGCAGGCGCACCAGCTCCTCCAGGTAGCCCTGCGGAGCGGGGTGAGCGGGGTGAGCGGGGTGGGGGGGCCCAGCACCCCGGCCCCCCAACTCCCGCCCCCCCCCCCCCTCCAGCTGCCGGTCACCGCCGCGCACACCTTCTGCGCGTAGACGATGCGGAACTTCTGCTCCATCTTGTGCCACTTGCTGTACCAGCTGTCCTCGTCCGTGACGAGCGGCAGGTACGGGTGCTCCGGGGAGTTGTCCTCGCTGGTGCTGCTCTCCGCGCTGTGCCGCTCCTCCTCGTCCGTCAGGTAGTCGTAGCTTGCGGGAGGGAGCGGTGCTCACAGGCTCGCCCTGCATCCCTCGCTGCCTGCCCCCTGCCCCATCCCCGTCCCATGTCCCATGTCCCATGTCCCTCTGGCCGGGGTCTGCCCGTGCCCCCCGCAGCGATCCAGCTTCTCACCTCTGGGTGAACTTCAGGTAGGGCGTGTAGTCGATGACCACGGGGGTCTTCCCATCCAGCACTTCACCCTTTAGGCAGAAGCTGAGACCAGAGAGCACACAGGGAAGGGGGTGGGGATGAGGGGATGGGGGTGCACATTCGTGCGTGGGGACACCCCACCACAACCACCCCCGCACGGGCACCGACACCTCGGCCCCACCTGAAGTCTATGGCGCTCAGTCCGATCAGCATCCCCGTGAGGACCGTGGCCTCCTCCCTCAGCATGATGGCTCCTGAGTCATAGAAACGCCTGTGGAGAGGGGGGTGGAGGAGGGACTTAGGGTGCGGCATCCTCCCTGGAGCCCACGTTTCCGGGATCTCTCTGTCGGTTCACTACAAGCCTTCCTTAGAGGAAGGAGGTACCTGCTTCCTGCTCATCCCTCAGATGTGGGTCTGTGTCTCCCTCAGACGGGCCCACTGGGAATGGCACCTGTGTCTCCCACCTATTAGAACGTGTCCCCCGAGGACAGACTCCCCTCAGTCTCCTGAGCTGCCCGTTTCCCACCGAGTACTGAGTCACCAGCTCCTTAAAGGGGGACACACACCATTCCCACTGGCACAGCTGCCTCAGTCCTGCCCTGCCTGGGACACAGTGGGGAGAGGACTGCAGTCCCCACAGGCAGGGCTGTGTTGTAGGACATGGAACAAGGCCAACAGGTGAAATGACGCCTGGTTGAGACTTTTGTCCAGATGTGTGTCTGAAGGGAGAGATGTGTGCTGGCAAGTGATGGGGATAACGAATTTTATTTGGAAGAAGTGATGATGGTGCCCAAGGTGTGTATCCTAACTGCAGGGTAGGCTGGCCTGCGGACAGACTGGGAGAGAGGGAAACTAGGTGCATGCTGGGAGTTGTAGTCCAGATAGGAACTGTTGCTTCAGGAAGTTAAGGATCAAGTGTGTTTAGGTAAAGGACATACACACTGGGACTTCGGTCTGAGCTGACTGGGAGGTCTGACCTGGTGGTCCGGGTGTCCCGCAGGGCTGTGGTGATGTACTCCGACATGCGCTTCTCCATCAGTGCCACTCGGATCCATGCCCGGCCCTGGAAGGCATGCGCACCTTTACTGAAGGGACTCACGTGTGTACCATTGGGCCTGGGCCTCCCGTGGCTCCTCTCCCCATTATCCACGGCGGGGTGAGGACCGGGGAGCGGGCAGTTCCCCGATATCCGGAGCTCGGAGGAGCTGCCCGGTCCTGCCCAGGGCGAGCTGCTCACCTTGGCGCGGGCCGTGCTGATGTTCTCCATGTTCTCGATGCTGCTCACGCAGTTGTTGGGCACTTTGCTGCAGGCCAGCCGGATGTAGTCCCAGAAGCCCCGCTGCCCGTCGGAGCTGAACCAGCTCACTGGACCTGCTGGGGCACAGGCTGAGCCAGGGCAGGGAGGGGGCTCAGCGAGACAGGGAGTTCAGAGAGGGCCCATGTCATGGGTCACATACATGCATAAGTGTGTGTCACGCACATACATAGTGCCTGCCCTAAACATATGTGCACACATATGCATGCCCACAAAGGGACATCATATCCCCGTCCCCTCTCCCTAACTCTGTGCATGAGTTGCTGTACATGGACCAGAACTGGGACCAGGGTCAGCGATGGGTTTCAGGAAGCCACAGAGTAGGTCTGAGTGGATGGCTGGGCACTAAAGGATGGCGGTTGGGGGGCTGGGCGCTAAAGGATGGCGGTTGGGGGGCTGGGCACCAAGGAATGGGAACCCAGGCACACCTTTGAAACGGTGGCTGAGGATCTGCTCTAAGATGGCCGCGAAGTTCACAAACTCCTCGGACGAGTCGTCGATGGGCTCGGCCGTGTACTTCTCCAGCAGGGTCTTCACGGAGAACCTGGGGGAGGGCAGGGAGAGGGGGCGGGGGGCGTCGGGTGAGAAGACAGGGTAAGGGCATCAGGCAGAGAGAGGGACAGAGAGCAGAGAAGAGTCATGAAGAGCATGGGTGGAGCAGGTGGCAGAGGGAAAGCGTGGGAGACGGGGGAGGACAGGGTAGAGGTGCTGTGACAGGGGGATGCTGGGGCAGCAGGTGGGAGACGAACATAGGGGGTGACAGGAAGGGTGACAGCCAGAGAGAGGAAGCTTTGGGAACAAGGTACGAGAAGGGGTGAAACAATAGGTAGCGAGTCCGGGCACCTGGCGCCGGAGGCTGCCCCGGAGCCCCTCCTTGCCCACCCTCTGGGGTGGCATTCTCTACGTATGTGTTGGGGGTCAGCTAGGAGTTAGGAGCTGGTTTGTACCCCTGCACTGCGCTGTCTTCTGCTTTTGCTGGCATAACCTTTAGTACCCTCTGGAGTAGGGGGGGCAGCGCCAGGGCTTGTGAGTGGGCGCTGAAAACATGGGGTGTGGGTTTGCATGGTGACCAGGTGGGCTCTCAGCACACCAAGGCCCCCCTGTCCCCTTTTCCTTCCCTGCTTAGCCGCCCACACACCAGCTGCCCGGAACCGGAACGGGGAGGTGCGGAGCTGGGCCGGGGGAGGTGTGCTTGTAGGCCTGACAGACAGGCTGTGGGGAGGGAGCACTGGCTGCGGATCTGCGGGGGCCTTTCACCTGGCTTCTCAGAGAAGAGGAAGTCAGGGGAAGCCCAGGAGCCCCCATCCTTCCCTACAGTCCTGCTTGAAGCCTCAGCTCCCTCTGCAATCCCTATTCCCAACCCTGCAATCTCCACCCGCCATGCTGCCGTGTGCGGGGCAGGGCGGAGGGCACGGGTCCCAACATCCCCTATTGCCCTGTTGTGGGTGGCAGAGCAGATGCAGGGGTTGCTTATAACTATCCTTTCCCCCCTAAGCTGATCAAGGCCCATAATTGGCCCAGCACTATACTGTGCAGTGCCACCTCACCCATCCCTGTAACAGTCCTGGGAAATAGTTCCTCTGATCATCAACATCATCCCCATTTCACATATAAGGTAACTGAGGGTCCAAGTGGTCAACGGATCTATTCTGAGTCACACCACCCAGCTTCTGAAGATTCAAGTCAGCATGCCTGATTCCAAAGCCCTTGCTCTTTCTGTATATCTTGGTCCCCTGGTGGCTGTCAAATTCCCAAGGACCTGAGCAGCCCCTGCCTCCTCTGCCCTCTGCCCTCTGCCCTCTGCCCTCTGCCCTCCGCGCTACATTCCAGCCCTGGGGCACCGGCCTCCTTGGCTCGCAGGCCAATGGCACAGCTGAGTCCACGGACCTTCCCTCCCCTTTGGACTTAGAGTTGGTCTGGCTTGAGATCAGAGCCAGGTCTGTGTGGGGGTTGCACCGGGGGGGGGGGGGGGGGGCAGCCTGGGACTTAAGTCCTGTTCCCTTGTGACACCCTGTGGCTTTGGACAAGTCATTTCCTCTCAGAGGCCCAGGTCTCAGGTGCAAACAGGAATAGTATGACCTGCCTCCTGACATTTTGGTCCAGATCCCAGACAGGACCAGCAGGTGAGTGTGTGTAATCCTGAGGTGGTGAGGCTGGATTAACGGGAAGGTTGGGCCTGCCAGAAGGAGTCTGTGTTTTAGGGTGTTATCTGGGTTTCCTTATGCAGCCCCCCACAGCCTGGTGATTTCTGACCATCGGGGCAGACCACAGCGGGGGCCTGGGGCTGGGTTCAGTATTGTAGCCTCTGTCCGCAGGGATGGTCATCGCCCCCAGAGCTCCATGGTGTGCTCCCCGTTAGGATGTGCAGTGGCTGCTGCAGGTTGCCATGGAGACAGGGAGGCCAGGGCCCAGGGGAGACCTCAGCTTGCTAAAGGGACCTGCTCTGGGAGCTGGAGGCAAACCATGTGACAGTGATGAGGCAGCAGAGCCCCAGGGGTTTCTAGCCTTTCTTAGTCATGCCCCTGTTTCTCCCCAAACTCTCCCACCACAGCGCCAGCCCCTTTCAATCCACCAGAACCTCTGCTTCTGCAGCCTGGGCCACAGAGAGGCCCCCTCCCCACACGCTCAAGAGACCCCGTTGCCCTGGCCGGCAAGAGAAAGAAGAGGAACCGAGGAGGCCACGAGGGAGGAGAGGGACAGGAAGGGTGCCATCAGGACGGGGCTTGTGTGCCAGGCATTGGGCTAGACTCCTACGTGGATTATGTCATTGCCACTCCTTGGCATGGCTGCTGGATCTCTAATGGGGGTGATGAGGCAGGCACCCAAGACCCGGGATGAGTAGAAGACTTCAAAGCTGCACAGCTAATAACTGAAGGAGCAAGAGCTTGGACCTAGGGCCACTGGCCCCAAAGGCAGAAACCCTGGCAGAAGATGCAGAGTGAGGGTGGAGGCGGAGGTCTACACTTTGTACCCATCCCTTCCCTAACATCCCAGGCGTCTTTACAGAGGCCTGATGTGCTGGGCACTGCGAGGCCCTGGGGACCCAGTGGTGTGAGACGGGCGGGCACAGTGGGGCTGGGTGTGTGTTCAGGAACCCGGGAGGAGCTATAGGACCCAGTAGCCGGGCATCAGGTGGGCACGGATTCCCATGTACAGGCAGGCGGAGCTGGCAAGGGAAACCAGCTGAGATGTGCGCTGGAAGCTCAATGCCCTCAGAGGCGGCATGGGGTGGGGGAGCAGGGAGATTGCAGGTGAAGGCAGCTGACATGGGGATCCTAGGAGAGATGGTACAGGTGAGGGCTGAGGTAGAGGCTGAGCTGATGGCATTCCTCAGGGCAGGCCAGGGAGGGTGGTCTCTGCAGGGCTGAGGCGGGAAGCTTCACTTCCTGGGCCCCCAGAAAGCAGGGGAATCTTCTCAACACCACAGCAGCCCCACCCTCAGGGACCAGTGGGCCTGCCCTCCCAATCTCCTCCCCTCCATCCAAGGAGACCCGGGTCTCTGCGGCCCGGCCCTCAGCCTTCCCTGGATGAGTTCAGGGTCTTCGCCCACAGGCCCTGCTGACTGCACAGGTCCCGCTGCCCAGAGAAGGAGGGCACCATTTCTGCTTCAGGACCTGAGCCCTAGAAAATCTCCCAGAGAAGCCCGCTCCAGAGAGGCCAGGCTATTGGTAGGAATGAGGGGGTGCTCGGAGGCAGTGACCTCCTCTCACCGCCTCCCTGTCCTCAGCAAGGGAGCCAACCATCCCCCCCCCTCCCCCCGGCACAGTGTCACTTCCTGGCTCTCACAGGAAGCTGCAGCACCAATGAAACACCCCCCACCCTCCGGGCCTCGGCTGGGCATAGGCCTGTCTTGGCCTAGACGGGTAGGCACCAGACCTCCAAACCCCTCCCGGTCTGGGCCTCAGAGGACGTGCACTCGCTCCTCTGAGCCCTGAGCCAGCTCCCTCTCCTCCGGCTGCTGTGCATCCTCCCCGGGCAGGCTCCTCCAGGTTCCCAAACTCTCCGCGGCCCCTCCGCCCCGCAGAGCCCACCTGCACACGGTGATCAGGTTCCTGCGCTCCACGGCCACGTTGCGGGAAGACGCTTTCTTGGAGGACAGCCCCAGAGCCATGGCGGTCAGGACAAAGCTCGCTTCCATCCAGATGTGCAGCCCCTGCCGCCGCTGCCAGCTGCCCCTCGCCCCGCCCGGCACCCCGGCCTCCGCGCCGGATCACGGCTGGGCCCCCTGCCCGCCGGGGCCCCGCGCCCTCCGCACGGCCATCCCCGGCCCCAGGCTCCCTCCCCCGGCGGCGATGCGGGAGCAAACAAGGCCGGGGAGGGAGCTCTCCGAGGTGCTGAGCCGACCCGTCACCCCCTCCTCCAGCCGCCGGCCCCCCACCGCGGCCGGTGACGTCACGGCCCCGGGCCCCGCCCCCGGCAGGCCGGGGACCAATCCGCGGAGGATGCAGGGCCTCGTGGGGGAGGGGAGAGGACCAGGACCTCCGGGAGGGGGGGGGTCCCCTGGAAGAGGCAGCGATTGGAGGGAGGAAGAGGGGGTATCTGGCCTGTCCTCCACCCCCATATCCAGAGCCCGGGACCCCTCGTCTCACGGCTCTGAGCTCCCACTCCTCTACTCTCCAGTGTCTGACCTGTGGTCAGTGGTGTCCACCTCAGACCTCACCCTGGTAATGGATGGAGGTCCTCACCTCCTGTGCCCTCACCCAGCACCTCCCTCCCCATTCGGGGCCAGGTCTGTGTCCCTCCAGAGAGCGCAGGTGGCCCTGCTCCGCTGGCTCAGGAGGCCAAGGAGCAGCTAGCCTAGAGGGACGACGTATCTGTCCAGACGGCCCCGGAGTCTCCTGCTCCCAGGGTGGGGGATGGGAAGTCTCCATCAGCTGAACCAGAGCCTGAACCTCCCAGGGCGGAGTGGAGAGCAGACTAACAGCCAGGGGCCTGGGTTTGTGGGGATTCCCAGCGGCAGAGCTGGTGCCCACAGTAGTCTCAAGGCACCGCTTCCCCTTGCAGTCTTACCCCCTCACACCACCCTGGGGGCACCTGGCTTCCAGTTAACCTCTTGGCTGCCAGCATTGTTGCATGCTGCCATCAAGCCTCTCTGCAAAGCTGAGAGGTCCCCGCAAAGCTGGTTGCATCTTTTACAGGAAGGTGGGGGACATGGAGGCAGCCTGGCTTCCCCGCTGCCCTTTACCTCTCAGTGTTCTCTCACATCCCTCCTCCCACCTGCTTCATTCCCCAACTCAGCCTGTTCTTTTTCACCCATTGAGTCTCCAGCTTCCACAGAAAGCCTTGCTAAGTGGATTAAAGGGGTTCCACCCAACTTCTCCACCTGGCCTCAGGAACGTCTGTCCTGGGGTTCAGCTCATGTATTCACCAACTCTACCTAATCACTGGATTTATTCTACTCTGCTAATAGATGATCAGCGTCTCCACATTGATTCAGACATGCACCCACATCTGAATATGATCGGCAAGCAGGTGTCCTCTGTTAGCACAAACAGGAGGACAGGAGACATTCCCAACGCTGGTCGGCTTCCTTGGGGCTGGGGAGAAGGTCCTGCCTGCTGGCTCAGACCTGATATTCACTCAGCCTCAGCCTCAGCCTCAATTCTGGCTTCTGGGACCTCAGGCTTGGTCTTTTCTGCCCCTCTTTTGCCTTTTCCCTCTTGCCTCGTCTCTAGAAACTCTTCCCAGCATCCTCCTGCCTTCAGACTCATAGCCGTTGGCAATATTGATGTCCTTTTGGTTTTCAATTCAAGATAAATGTTATGCACAACAGAGCATACAAAAACTAGTGTGCAGTTTAAGGAATATTGACAGCCCGGCCCGTTGTGGCTCAGAGGTTGTACGGAGGTCTATGAACCAGGAGGTCATGGTGTAAATCCTGGTCAAGGCACATGCCCAGGTTGTGGGCTCAATTCTCAGTGTGGGGTGTGCAGGAGGCAGCCAATCAACGATTTTCTCTCATCATCAATCTCTCTCTCTCTCCCCCTTTCTCTCTGAAATAAATAAAAATATTAATAAAATAAAATAAAGTGGAAATGCAATCTCTCCAGTAACAGTAGTCAGCCATTTCTGGCTGATGTTAATACCTCTCCTACTATGTGTACCGGTTAATAATGCGATTTTTTTCATTAGATGTAGTTACACATATGCTGCTATACCATATATGTGATTTGATATGCACACTATTTTGTTGTATTGACAATAAGCTTCAAAACTTCATATGTTAAATTTTCTGAAGGTGTTAACATCATAGATATTTTTACGCCTAAAAATGTCAAATTTTGTGCCAAAAAAAGAGCATTTGTGGGAAGTTTTAATTCATTATTTTGAAAAGTGCTGCTGAAAGTTATCATATACTTCGGGAGGCTTATGGTGAACATGCTCCATCTCAAGATACCTGTGAACGCTGGTTTAAATGCTTTAAAAGTGATGATTTTGATGTGAAAGACAAAGAATGTCCAGGTCAACCGAAAACATTTGAAGACCAACAATTATAAGCATTGTTGGGTGAAGATGCATGTCAAACTCAAAAACAACTTACAGAAAGATTAAACATTGCTCAGCAAACAATTTCCGATTGTTTACAAGCAATGGGAAAGATTTTAAAGGAAGGAAAATGGGTGCCACATCAATTGAATGAAAAACAAATGGAAAACCGAAAAGTCATCAATAAAATGTTACTTTAACGACACAAAGAAAAAAATATATATATTTGCATCGAATTGTGACTGGCGATGAAAAGTGGATTTATTTTGAGAATCCCAAACACACAAAATCTTGGGTTGATCCAGGTCAACCATCAACATGGACTGCAATGCCAAATCGCTTCGGAAAGAAGACAATGCTCTGCATTTGGTGGGATCAGAAAGGTGTGGTGTATTATGAGCTTCTAAAACCAGGTGAAACTGTTAATACTGATTGCTACCAACAACAAATAATCAATTTGAACCATGGTTTGACTGTAAAACAATCAGAATGGGCCAGCAGACACGGCAAAGTAATTTTGCTTTATGATGACACACCACCACACACTTCAAAACCAGTTAAAGACACGTTAAAAGATCTTGCCTGGGAAGTATTAACCTAGCCGCTGTATTCACCAGACCTTGCTCCTTCAGATGACCACTTGTTTGGATCGATGGCACACATACTTTCTGAGCAGCACTTCAAAACATACGAAGAAGTGGAGAATTGGGTCTCTGAATGGTTTGCCTCAAAACAAGAAAAGTTCTATTGGGACGGTATCCACAAATTACCTGAAAGATGGGGGAAATGTGTAGCTAGCGATGGACATTACTTTGAATAAAGCACTTCTGATGTTTCTCTTTAAATTAATGTGTTTTCTTTTATTACAAAAGCTGAATCTTTAACAAGCATCTGCATTATTAACTGGTACTGGTTAAAAAAATGTGGATTGTCCTTTTACCAGTTAAAAAATGCAGATACCAGTTAAAATTGCAGATTGACCCTTTACTGGTTAATAATTAAAACTTCTTGCAAATGCTCTTTTTTTGGCATAAAATTCAACATTTTTAAGTGTAAAAATATCTATGATGTTAACACCTTCAGAACATTTGACATATAAAGTTTTGAAGCTTGTTGTCAATATAATAAAATAGCATACGTATCAAATTGCATCTATATCAACATATGTGTAACTCCATCTAGTGAAAAAAATCTGCATTATTAACCGGTACACCTAGTAGTTCAGCCACATTTCTTCTAGAGAATTCTGAAAACATAAAGACTAAATTATAAAGTTCACTACCAACAGAAATCCTTAATAAAATAATAAGGGAAAGAAAGGATGGGGAAATTAATATATAGAGTATATGGTACAAAACAAGCAAGAAAGAAAATACACATAGCTTCTACAATAATTATTTTTGAAACTTAGAAGTTGATATTTATAACTTTCCTCTTCCATTACTCATTTTATTTTCACTTTTCCCTTTGTTTTTAACCAGGCCAGGTGACCAAACCTTCATTCCTTTTTCTTTTTTTTTTTTTTTTTTTATAAGAGAGAAAGTAGAAAGGAAGGAGGGAGGGCGGAAGAGAGGGAGAGAGAAACATCGATGTGAGAGAGACACATCAGTTGGTTACCTCCTGCATGCCCCCCAACCAGGGCTGGGGATTGAACCTGCCACCCAGGCATGTGCCCTTGATCAGGATCCGAACCGGTGACTTTTCAGTGCATGGGCCAATGCTCCAACCACTGACCCACACCAGCCAGGGACAAACCTTCATTCTTGAAGAATCTAAGTCCTCAGAATTGAATCGCAACCATTTCGTCCTTCGTATTTGAGATCAGCCACCTCAGACAGTAACTTCTTTCTTCATTGTTGGTAGCAGAAGCTGCTATGGAACTGGGCTTCCTAGAGCCAGTGGGTATGACGGGCTCAGAAGGAGGCCAGGTTACAGAGCTCAGTCATCAGAGTCCAGGTGGACAGAATTACTGTAATGGGCAGAAGGACCCAATGGCAAACTGGGATGTAGTGTGATGGCCAATAGACCATCTAGGCAGGTGGACAGCCAATGATTGTACGTCATGATTTCATAGCCAAAAATGAGCAAGAATGAGTTAGCATAGGGGTGTCGAACTCAATCAGAGAAGGGGCCAAATTCTAAAATCCAGCCTAAATCGGGGGCCGAATGGTTTACTGAACAGTCATAAACTGTCATTGTGATGGAAACGCAGCGGAGTGCAGTGATGACAGCGCGGTGCGGGCCACATTGCAAGACCTGGCGGGACGGATTTGGCCCACGGGCCTTGTGTTTGACACATGTGTTAGCAGAAGGCTGATGTCAACCATTGCAAAGGAAAAATCATGGTCCCTCCCCAACTTCCAGACCCAAAGCATTTTTGGCTGCAGAGCCCATTGATCGAAGGGGAGGCCAGTTTCCTTCAGGAAAAATCTTGCAATGCCACAGACATTGCTTATATCATAATAATGATCTCACGCATCTTCCAAAGGTGCTCACAGCCATTTTTCAGAGCAACTGCACCCTGAGGAAAGGGGAATCTCAGATCTTTCAAGACTTTGGATACAGGGTCTGAGTTGACTCTTATAACTAGGGGACCAAAGTGCTCTTAAGAACACATATTAGTCAAAACCGGTTTGGCTCAGTGGGTAGAGTGTCGGTCTGCGGACTGAAGGGTCCCAGGTTCGATTCCGGTCAAGGGCATGTACCTTGGTTGCAGGCACATCCCCAGTGGGGGGCGTGCAGGAGGCAGCTGGTCAATGTTTCTCTCTTATTGATGTTTCTAACTCTCTCTCTCTCTTCATCTCTGTAAAAAAAAATCAATTTTATATATATATATTTTTTTTTAAAGAACAGATAGTAGAGCCCTAGACAGGTAGC